ATGTATTATTATTATTATTATTATTATTATTATTATTATTATTATTATTAACAACACACAACTGGAATTAAACTCTGTGTTTAATTCTGGTAAACATCGTTTTTCAAATTCAGTAGTTCCAGACTAATGATGAGTAACTGCGACGAGCCGTGGAAGAAAATTCAAACTGAATTGGGAGTAGAGCATCACATTGAAAGATCACTAGGTGTTTTTTTGTTTTGTTTTTTTTTTGGATATCTTAAAGGAACTCCATTCTTGACGGAAAAAAAACAATTCTTTCATCGCTAGTCAAACTGAAGGCAGATAAAGCAAGTAATCAGTCATCATTTACCGGGCCGTGTCTATTCAAGAAATCTATCTTAATCCTCAGAATTTGTAAGTACTATAAACTCTGGTTTAATTCTCTAATTGAAAAGTTTAACTGCATGAACTCCACGATAGAGTAGTTGCAAAGTTAAATTTATAGTAAGTTTACCGCGTACCTCAACCATATTTGCTATTTAATGGGTTTTTCTCCAAGCTTGATCTGTAGTCTCTAGTTCCTCCTGATCTTGATCGTTGCTAGTTGTAAATGGTATGGAAACCTTTGGATTCGACAATCTTATTTATACGGAAAGTTGAGGAAGTCTTTTATGTTAATTGACATCAGGGAAGTCCCAAAGTCACACGGTCTTCTTAGAAAATGAAAGTGTTAAATACCTCCGTCACTTGCACGGATTTCGAAATAAACTGAGCTTTTATCGAGTAAGACTAGTCTCTATGGCTGCCAATTGATCATGCAGTTGGAAATGCTCGCGATTCTGTTTGGAGGAGCTGAGTAATTTTTCAAATAATTAGAAATAACAAGTCACGCAAGTTAGGAATCTAAAAAAGTTTCCAAAATAGACTTTTAAAGATATTCTTGATTGGCCAGAAGAAATATCTTTAAGACACTGAAAAAGTGGGAATTTTACTTTTTGTCAGTGCTGTTAGAAATTAGTGTATTTGGGAGCGTCACGCCACTGGCTGCATGACATTCAGGCCCGCCGAAGAGGAGAACGTTGTACAGGTCAAAAGTATTATGTTTAAAACGGAAACATGTAATTGGATTTCATACGCGCTGAATAAGACGATGAAGACAGATTTTATCTATAAGCAGTAAATCCAGCCATAGAAGAAGTAAAATATTGAAATTTATCCATGGAAGATTTCAAACACCTGAAAGATGCAAGTGTTCATTCTGTTTGAAAATGAAAATACTTCATTAATCCTTGTTATTTACTGAATCTGGTCACATGATATGCCGATTTGTCATATCATGTAATCTCTCGATTAAGACCAACAGACTCTAATAACTAGTTAGTAAAACAGTCAGGTTTTCAAAAGTTTTGAAAACACGTTCCACGCCACGAAGAATAATTGAAGAGGGTAAATGTAATCCCTTTCCAGCATACTGACAAGGAAGGGCGTCCGATCCAAGTTTAGCCAAAATTTTGCGAGTTTCGTGATGGAGAATTTGAAGCCCAGTATCTACTGTGATCACGTAGCTGTATTAGGATAATTCGACTTGTCCTGATTGACGGAACTTTCAACATTGTATTTATGTAATAACTAGAAACTAGGACGTAAATACCTCTCTGAACTGAGCGAGACAATTCATTGTGGCTTACATGAATTCTAATTTTGGTAATCGCGCGGGAGATTCTTATGGGGGCGTATCTAGCGATGCTGTTTCAGGGGCTCTAATACTCTACCCAGTTAAAAGGTTTGTTGCAACATTTATCTCGTAGTTTCTTCACTTTTTTTTTCTCTTATTACAAGGTTTCCTTGTCCGAGGTGCAGTCGTGTAATATGCCACAACCTTAGAGATTTCTTGTCATTCGTCCCCTTCTTTAATTTTCCCTTTGAATGAGCAAGCGTTCAGTTGTATTCATTTAGTAATAAATACTTATGAAGATTACGGAGGGGTGTTTTGGCAGGGAGAAGGGGGCACTGTTGGTTTTACTTTACTGCAT